AGTGATGTGCCCGAGTCAACTCAGGAAACTACTCAGCAGCACATTGATTCCAATCGTCCCGCACGGGAGGCTGAGCCTACTCTGCCGACTGAGTCGAGCATTCCGAGTTTCTGGACGGCTTGCCCTTACTGTTACAATCTCTACGAGTACCCTAAGGGTTACGAGGATTGTGTACTTAGGTGCCAGAATTGTGCAAAGGCATTTCAAGCCTTGGTCATTCCGTCGCCACCGGTGGCTGATAATGCTTCTACCTTTTGTTGCTGGGGATTTTTCCCACTAGGGGTTTCTATGAAGGCCAAAGGAACAATGGGGTCTGCCGCCTGGTCGCCTTTTTCGGCCATGTTTGCCTGTCCTTTGCCTGCTCAAGGGGCAACAAAATTGGGGAAAACTAGAAATGTTAAACCCGTCAAGAAATCTGCACCAAAATTCTTCTGTGAAGAGGATGACATATATGTGGAGATTTCGGAAACAAGTGACAGTTCTGATGAAGAATGGGGGAGAGTGAGTAAGAAGAGGAAGCCTAAGAGGGGTTTGGCCAGTAGAAGTGACAAGAGACAACCTTCTGAGAGCTTAACGAAAGGGAGCCAAGGAAATGTGGGGAATGGAAATACAGATGAAGTTGAGAATATGAATGGGCAGTTCGAAGAACAGAATGGTTCGGGGCGGTTTGGTTTGTCAAACTCCACAAAGGGCGAGTCCAGCAAGAAGGCTGTGGCAGCGATGGGGGGTACTGGGAAGAAGCATAGAGGGAAAGGGGCAAAGGAGCTAGGAAAGTTGGATTTGAATGTGGAGTTCAGCAATGAGGTGGAAGAGCCTGCCACAGGCGTAAGTGAAGGGCATGGGGAGGATAACATTGGAATTGGGTTCTTTGAGGGCCTTGATGAATTTTTGAGTAGTCTGCCGATACTTAATGCCGTGGCTGATGATAAGGTCAAAGCTAGTTAGTAAGGCTCTTGGATGTTATTCTTAAAGTAAGACTCTTCCTTTTGTTGTGGATGTTGTATTTTGTTATTGTAGTATAAAAATAATTTGAAGCTGCAATGCATTTTGCCCAGTGGTTCCTGTTCTTACACTGCCATTCACATAACTCTGAAATATGCGTTGCCTGAACTATTCTTATGGGTTTTCTTTCTCGGTCAAGATCTTACACTAACTTGCGAGAACTGAAACTTAGCAAATTTAAATACTGTGAAATTGTGCACTGTGCAGACACAATTATGTCTGTTGGCAATCGAGTTTTCATATTTTTTTGTATTTACTCTCAAATATCTATCTCTATATGATCGTTGACATTGTAAAACTTGCATTTTGTTACTTCCTGGATTCTTCAAAGAGGAATTGAGGGCTCCCAATTCTCAACTATACCCTCGTGCATACCAGATATTCATTAGGATATTTTCTCTACGTTCTTATGATATTCTCTAGTACGGCAATGATTTGTATTTGTTATTTTTGGAGATTTTTTATGCCTAACATACCATTTGGGATAAAGCTTCCGGTGTTCTTGTTCTGCAATTGAGATGCATTGAGCATGATACTTGTTGACATCTTTAATAGTGTAACTAGCTAGCAGTTGGATTTAGGAAATTCTTAATCTTTCATGGCCTTTCTCTAGTTGGTCTGGTAATATTTGTAATAATTCTCGACACGCGAATAGTTATAGAATATGACATCTTCTGCCTTTTTATTACCATGCCTTATTTGTGAGGAAATTTCAGTTCTACTCTTCATCTTGTAAATTAGTTAATTAGTTCTCTGATAAACATGGTTTATGACCGACCATGCTGTTTTATAACATGAATTTGAGTGGGGG